TGTTAAAAAGTCTAGTCTATCCGGTGCATTGTTTTCTCCGCCATTGTTGTGCAAATTTCATGGAACCGTGGCCCAGTGGAAAAAACTTGGGTATTCATTCAATGACTGAGTCAAGCCCGCTTGAGGGAAGTTAGTAACAGGATGGGTGACCAGAAACGGATGCCTACTTAATTTTTTTCTTTTTTTCTTTTTTGCAATTTTTTGAATCTTTCAATTGATTACAATTTATTTTGTTGAGAAATCCTCGAAAATTAAAAAAACTGCCGGAAAGAAATCCGAGGAGAATCGCCGTAAGTTTCTTTACAAAATAGAATACTTTTAATTGGTTAGAATTCGTTCTGGTTGACAAATCATCGAAAATTATACTAAACTAGAACTCAGTCCTAATCTGCAAACTGCTCGCGCAGTGCTTATCGTTCAACATGTAGCAACTCGTCTAACATGCAAAAACTCTTTTCTTATTTGCAACAACTAGTCTAAAACGCAGCAACTCCGCTTCTAACTAGCAGCAAGTAAGGTTTTTTATTGGTAGCAACTCGYCTAGCTTGCTGCATGTTCCTTATGGACCACGGCCTTATGAGCCAACGTACAAAACAACGTTAGTCTCTTTCTATGAAAGAATGCCAACTGGAAAGATCTTGTTACCCAACATCGTATCTATCAATCTTTTGGTATCCCTTGAAAACAACATCATCTTCGTGTGCAACACCACACAATTCACCTTGGGTGCATGCGACGCCACAGCCGTTATTGAATTGACTTTGACAAAATATTTGGTCTTGACGGCCACGTCTTTTGTCCTTTTTTGTCCAATATTTATTAAGCTGATTTCGAGCCAATAAACACCTTACGAGCTATCTCAAGTACAATAGAGCTTTATTATGCACAGTGAGTATAATAATTTGGTTTTCTTTTAGTTTGCAATTGAGAAAAACTACTTTCACATTTGGCCCAGAGACACGTTCTTGTTGATTGCCACTCCTAATCCAGTAAGTGACTTAACTTTTTTTAAACTGGACTGCTGAAATTAAGCTGTTGCCCTACGGAATAGCTTTCCCTCCAACCAGCAGGTTGCTTGCATATCTCAAGGTATGCTACGAGAAAGCATTACATTACTATTTAATCCAACAGAAGAAATTAAACCAAAAAGAATATTCAACGGCTTCCTGTATTCTGATTGGTCGTACAATAGTCTTGTACTAAGTACCGTACTAATAATATAAATTAGCATTGCCAACTTGTGTACTTTGTAAGAACGCGCGCGCTCATTGGTTAATTGGAGGTGAATATTGTACGATATTCACCTCTGAATCTCGGAATATTGAGTCGGCAACAAAATGGCATCTGCCGGCAATTGTTTTGAAAAAATGAAAGTAAATGCCATTCCTATCAATAGTAAAATGGCGACGAAGTATGGCCTAAAAATGTTTTGGTAAAAGTTTTGCTAAAAGTTTTGCGAGAATTTGTCACGCAAACTAAAAGTTTTTTGTTTGTTTGTTTTTATTGAATTATTGTATATGAAAATAAGTTACTCTGTACACAAGTTGGTATATGCTAAAACAATTATTCGCCTCAGGCTCAGTGAATATGGAGAATATTTACCTCGCCGCAAGACTCGCGACAGTGTATATCGACAGTTTTTTAGGAATTCTTTACCGTTGATACTGCGTACAGTATTTGATTGTCGACTTTCTTTTGCTCATTCACAGGATTATTCATTTACCTGCACCCTTTTTGCTCCATTCGACCAGTTTGACAAAATCACCAATAAGGTAAAATATTCCAATATTTTTCACACTGACAGAAAAGTTTTAGCCTTTGTCTATTGAATTATCACTGCCGCCTGCCGTGTGTAGTATGTTGTCTTAAAATAAATTTGAAAGTTGTGCAACAAAATTTGACAAAAACGTTTTTTTATCATCGATTTTTCTGCGGATTTTACGCGCTAGAAAGATGCATGCGTTCCAAAAAATCTAAAGTCCCACTCAGTTTGCTCGGGGAAAATGTRTTTTGTGCGTTCACCGTTTAATAGCAGTTTTAATTTAATTTTGAATACGATTGTTTTTTTGTTTTTTGTTTTTAGAAAGGACTTCAAGAGTTTTTTTCAAGAGAATTTCCGGATTTTATGGAATTAGTTGGAGAGTAAGTAAAACTATTTTTTGCATCTTTACCTTGGGCGTAATGTTTTCCCATTTAAGACCTCGTCTCATTCCCTTAGTATTATTCTTTTAGTTCAGACGTAATGTTTTCCCATTTAAGACCTCGTCTCATTCCCTTAGTATTATTCTTTTACTTCACACGTAATGTTTTCCCATTTAAGAACTCGTATCATTCCCTTAGTATTATTCTTTGATTTCAGACGTAATGTTTTCCCATTTAAGACCTCGTGTTATTCCCTTAGTATTATTCTTTTACTTCAGACGTAATGTTTTTCCATTTAAGACCTCGTCTCATTCCCTTAGTATTATTCTTTTACTTCAGACGTAATGTTTTCCCATTTAAGACCTCGTCTCATTCCCTTAGTATTATTCTTTTACTTCAGACGTAATGTTTTCCCATTTAGGACCTCGTCTCATTCCCTTGAGAAAAATATTCTTTGTTTGAGTCGTATCCTTACCATGCATGTGTCTTTTTATGTGCAACCATTAAACAAAGAAATGATACTCTAGGGAATGACAAGTGGTCTGAAATGGGGGGAAGTTACGCCCAAGGTAAAGAGTTCTATTCTCAAAAAAGCTTTTCATCTTTCTTTTTTTTCTTTTTTTTTTGGTTTTAGCTACTAAAATTAATCAACGCATCGTCCCTAAAAAAAATCTTATAAAAGGACTCCAAAGCGCATGAAGAGAAAACGAGGGTGCCAAGTCTAACATTTTCTGCATGGATTTTTAAATTATTAAAAAAGGAAACAATTTTGGTTCATGCAAAATTTCTAATATTTTTTTATGATGTCTATTCACAGAGATGATTTGGCAGAGGACTTTTTCAATAACCCAACAGGAACGATGGTCTCTATCAAGGTGCCTTGATCATATTCGATCTTTTTTTTTATTCCTTGTTGCATGTTCTGAGTTCTTGCTTGGGAATTGTCTTTAAGGTGTTTAGCTAAATGTCACTGCATTGGTAAACTAAATTTACAATTTATGATAACCCTATGTCAAAGAAATATCTTGAGCCCAGAGGTTGTTTCAGGGTTCGATCTGTGAGTCAGCCGTGTCCTGACTTATATCAGCCCAGAGGTTGTCTCAGAGTTCTATCTTTTAGTTAGCTTTAATCAGTTAAGAGGCTGTTTAAATGTGCATCATGACATCAAGGGTAAATGCGCACTACTTATATTGAAACACGTCGTGCTTTTCGATCGTTTTTATTCCCTAAACGAGCTCAGTCAAATTCAATCTTTTTCCGCACTTTATCAAATGTCTTCTCTTTGTAGTGCAAGCCGTACCACGTGAAGGACAAGGCAGTGATCATGGGTGATGCTGCTCATGCTATGGTGCCATTTTATGGACAAGGAATGAACTGCGTAAGTAAAGCATTGCCAGACCTGAAAAATAAATGTTTGACTCCCGTACTGTACTGTTACGTACTTTACCCAAGTTTTGATCAGTTTTCATCTGCATTACTAGTATATACTTATTTCCATAAAGTTGGTCACCAAAAACCCAAAAAGCTGATATCACTGAGGATCATGGGAAACAATTCATTTCAAACAAGTAAAGCTTTTTTGATACAATAGCAGCTAGAGGATGCTCAGGAGAGGTGAGACTGTAACCGGTAAAAGATCTCAAATCCATCAACAGTTATCAAGCGGTTGAAACATGTAAAATGTATCTGCCCATAATCCCTGTCGGCCTCAGCTTTATAGCTTTTCAGGTGACTAACTTTATTGAAATAAGTATATAACCTAGCAATGTTTCATAAAGGATTAAAACTGTCACGCACTGAAGACTAATATTATACACCCAGTTTAACCAACAGGGGATATGACAACAAGCAAGGGTATTGGCAACGTGTCTTGATATTGCAACTATCTATCTTGTCATGTACTGGCGTTCTAATAACTAATTACGCTTGCGTTCCTATATTTCTTAAAAAGAAAAGATAATATCCCATGCATATCATTAATTTAATGTCAAGATTTTAATAATAATAATGATAATAATAATAATTACATGTTTTACCAGGGTAAGCTCGTCAGCAAACAGCTGTTATCAAGGAGCGCCCTGGGGAAATTTAAATTGATAGCAGCCATTCCTTTCTAGGGTTTTGAAGATTGTATCATTTTTGATGAGCTTCTCGAAAAACACAACAACGACATTGGTAAGTCTAAAAAATGTCTCGGGCGTTTCCATGACTTTCCATGGACACGCGCCCTTGAAGCATTTGTGGTTTCTGATGGAAAAACTTAGCCCTATTTTYTCGTGATGGCAAATTGTATGATTTGGCTCTTGTGATAGAGAATTCGATTCGCTGTAATTGCTTATATAGAAATTTGAAGTTTATATTTTGGCTTGCGAATATCTTTCTTGGGCTTACGTGTTCTCCCTATTTTCTAGGAGCTGCCTTGGCTGACTATTCTGAAGTAAGGAATCCTGATGCTGAAGCAATCTGTGACTTGGCAATGTACAACTACGTCGAGGTAACTCGTTGGAATCACATGCATAATAGAACGGAACATGCAGTACTCGTGAGAGGGATCTTATGATGGTTGTGATGTTGTTGGTYGTTGTGGTTGTGAAGATGATGATGGTGGTGGCAGTGGCGKTGGGGYTGGTGATGATCATGATCATGATGAAGATGATATTCACATAAACTYATAAATAGATCTGCTATCTTGTYCACTAGCACTTGTACATTTACTATTTTATGTGGCTGTCGACTCTAAAGTTTTTACTATTTCGACAGCCACGCACACCCAAACTTGATTGTTATTATTTGATTGGTTTATTTTAATTTAATTGTATATTTGTATCTCTTTTCTATATACTTGAATATTGTAAATAAGTGTGTSAATAAATAAAAGTCTAAAGTCTGATGATGATGGTGCGTATCGATGATGATGATGATGAAGACGATAATGATAGTGATGATGGTGATGATCGATGGAAATGATGATATTAAAAGTGATGGTGAAAACTGATGATGATAATGGTATATAATGATGGTGGTTATGCATAATGCGCCAATTTATTTTGAATTAGATATGTGAGATCTTATTATTTTTCTTTATTTTACCTCTTTCAGTTGCGATCATCCGTCAACTCTACTCTCTTCTTAACCAAAAGGAAATTCTACAGTTTTCTTCATAAGTTGATGCCCAACACCATCATTCCACTCTACACCATGGTAAGAGGGGGCCATAAGAAGTGGTTAAGTTGTAGACTTAGAACATCTTTATCACTCTTTACTGTGGCGGATTTAGGGGGGGGGGGTTCATTGGGTGCAAATGAATCCCCCCCCCCCTTGGTACCTTGGATCTTTTATATTTTTTTAAATAAATAAATAAAAGTATGGCACTAACTCATGAGATTTAATATGAAATGGGACTGGTGGATAGATTATCCTTATCAGGAGCGCCCCTAGCTAGGCCAGTGATGTGCCTCATGGGAAARATGATGATGCAAGAGAACGTTATTGGTTGTGCCAAGATTTGCAAAAATGAACCCCCCTCTTAAAGTCCTGGATCCGCCACTGCTTTTCACTGTTACACGCTGATCGAGACAAATGTCGCAACAGGGAAATAGGGCAATACAGAGGAAATTTTCTCGATTCTTATTGGCTAACATTTTCTCTTAGAGCAGGATATTATCCTACTAAAGCTATTCTTTCTTTTTTATTCGTTTCTAAACAATGACGATACATTTTCCTTGAAGGTGACGTTTTCGAGGATTCCTTATCACGCTGTCATCAAGAGGAACAGCTACCAAGACAAGGTAGAGATCCATATACACTAAATACTTAATTTACTAATCCTCAAAGGAGAACTGAAAATATTGTTTCTGTTTGGCCCCACAACGATTTTTTTCAAAAGGTCGCGCCAATAGTGTCCTTAGATCCTTGGGAAATGGCTCGAACACACGTTTAATCTCACGACTGTGTCATGTAAAGCAGTTTCTGTTGGCATTATCGTGTATAAATAAAGGATGATTGATTGATTGATTGATCTTCTGTGCGCAAAATTGCCAACGATCGCAATAATTGTCAGGCCGATGTCACATATAGTAGCACGAGTAGCGCAGTTGGCTAGAGCGCCGCTTTCAGAGCTAGGAGTCCATGGGTTAACCGATCCTCAGCTACAGAATCTCCACGCTGTAAACATGTTTCGGTAAASCTGTTYCCTCTTTTAGCCAGGGCCTTAAAACTTAACATTCCTTAACAATTTCAAATGTCAAACAAGCGTAAATATACATGATCTTTCATCCAATCCACTGTCATTGTGTATAGTTTGGTATGTTATATAATTAATCATAAGTCCGACAATTAATTTTCTTTTCATTTATTATAGATTGTCAACGCAGCTTTCCTCCTTCTCATGCTTGCTGTTGCAATTGGCAGCCTCGCCAAAATTTTGGACCTGGCTTAGCTTCACTGTAAAATAGTTTTAGTTTTTAGCGATTAGTATTAAAGGACTTTAGCTTTGTGTCTAGACTTTCCCCTGTGAGCAAAGAAACAAAGAAAAGAAATGACTTTTTGATATGAATTTTAGGCGTAGTTTCTTTTTACATTTGTGCATGCACATCAATGTTTTAACTGCTAAGTCGTATTCTTAGTAATATAAAGCAAAAATAGATACACTTTGATTGGTAGCCATGTAATGTAAACAAAATTAAATTTATTATYAAAGAYGTGAATTTTGTGTTTCATCAGTTGGGGTTACCCAAYTGTCAGTTAAATCTACTAATTTTTYAGCCGAATGTCAGTTATCTGTAATGGTTTAAAGAGAGCTGGCCATAATATTAACCAAAATAATGGAATATCAGTTAACTGTTAGAGTGCACGCACTAAAACCGTGAACATTAAATAGTACTAATTAGTACTATTTCATACAGAAATATCAAATTTATCACTATTTAGTACAAAAACTAGTATTTGTTAGTATTGTACTCTTAGTTCAGTGCTCAATRACACATTGCACTTTGATTATTACCGTATCGCGATTAATCTATGTCGGACCTTTATCACACGGCGGCCATGTTTATTCTCATTAATGAAAACTTTGGTGAAACCAACATGGCGGCCGCGTGAAAAAGGCCCATGTTGATTAATATTAAATATTTATGACTTATTAGATTTTGACGTACGGCTTTATATTGGCGGGTCTTTGGGAGAAAATATCGCTAACGTTGTAAGAATACATTTTTGCATGGAATTCCACTGTAAAAAGCCCTGGAGAAAACAGAAAGGAAAAATAGAGCCAGTGTGACAGCGGTAATGCACTAGTCAATTGAAACCCCCGCCCCCCGACCCCCGCGGCTAGCGGGGCACTGAACGGGGACGTGACGCGTTTTTGATGTGCTTTTAAGAGCATGATTGCACTGGGGGCACGGGGATTTAACGAATGGTTTTCTCAACGGAGAATCGAGCGGGGATTTCAACGCTCGTTTGAATATGTAAGGACCTGGAAACAAGAGGTCGGCCATCTTGAAAAACACCAAGAAGGCGKTGTGATTCCAATCACAGGCATTCCGTAGCCTAGTACAGAGCAGTATGTTCTACACAAAACACATGCGCAAACAAACTTATAGCAGTTTCTACCTATACACTTTTAYACTGAGCTCCACTCTGATAAGAACCTTTCTTAAAATTGTAGCCTTAATAGGTTGGAGGGTTCTTAAAGTGAAAATTTTAGCCTATATTAAACAGGCTCTTAAAAAAACCAGGTTCTTATACGTGGGTTTTGTTCGGCCGTTTCGGTCAGTTCGAATGTAGAATCAGATCATGATTAATCTATTAAAACTACTGCTTCGCAATATTTACAAGCATTGTTCATTTTCAATTTAATACCATTAAATTCTCAGCTGACTAGACGTAAACCTAAACGTTTTCGCACGATTTGATGTTTAGAGCCCATGAAAATATTGAGCATTGAATATTTAGTGCATGGAACACACAACAATTGGCTCTGTGTAGCACAAGAATTTGGAGTTGGCGTGAAATGTGTTTCTTGTTGACTACTAAACCAAAATAACGGGGCCACAATTGCGAGGGTTTTAACAGTGAATGTGCCCCCGACTACCGGGGAAAATGTCTGATTTTAACACCACTCAAATGTTAAATTCCCCGGTATTTCGCGGGGGTCGGGGGTCGGGGTTTCAATTGACTAGTGCATAAAACAATTATAGAGAGTTTAATACCCCATTCACACCTAAATGCGTTTAGTTAAACTATGTTTTCATTAGGRAAAAAAWTGAGAAACTTGAAACCTACAATATATATTAATGAAACTTTCTAAAATATTGTCAGAGCAAGACAAAGGATAGTTTACATGCATTATTTCACGAAATATTGTGCTGGGTTCGTAGATAGTTTTCCAAACCTGTTTAGTTAAACCAGTTTTAAACATGTTTAAGCCTTGGTGTGAATGGGGTATAATATTCTCGTTTACGGCACTACGTGAAACATCAGTTGTATATTGACCATTGACCATCAAGAAATTCTTTAAAATTAGTGAAAAGGAATCGCAAAAATCTCCAAGTAGTAGATCAACAAAAGAATGCTTGTCTTTGTCGAGAAGGTTTGYAAAAGGTAAAGTGAAATAGGRAAACGATGAAAACGTGGCCACTATTCCAGCGCGCACACTTACTGCGCATATCTACATCGAGGGATAAAAAATCAATATCGATGATATTTGTTTATCGTTATTATGGTAACGGTGAATCATCGCAAACTCCCATCCCTTTACAGCATGACATGTTGTAAGCGAGTATCTGATCGATCAGTCTAATTTAAAGCGAAATATTTGTCTCCGGCATAAGGCGGCTGTCGCGGCTGCGCAGGAGTCTTCATTAACAAGGCATCTATTGATGGTTGGGCTCCCTGTGGTTTAGTCACGCATGCCCCAGGGACGAGAGACTGAAAATGGCGGCGGTTTCTGAAAAACCCAAACAGAAGAGAATAGCGATAATTGGTGGTGGTTTGGTGAGTTATTTTCCTCATTTCTTCTTGTCAATGCAAATAATTAATACCTTCTGCATGKTTGCATGGATGCTAGATAAGTTGTCATGGACGTTGTCATAACTTTTTTCCTTTCTTTCTTTCTCTTGTCTTACATAACGCAGCACATGTGCGCACATGTAGAGTTCTTTACAAGCTTTGTTGTTTTATTATTGATTACTGGTTGAAAAAATGTTCATCAACTCTTGATGCTGCCGTATAACCTGCAGTTTAAGCTTATCATCTATTTTATGGCTTATCAAATGTTTTGCTTGCTTACACGCTTAAAAAAATAAGCAGTCGGTGACTGTATCGTGGCTACCGTTATAGCGAAGAACAATGTGGATATAAATATATATGTAAAGAGTAGTTTGTTGGACTGAAGACACATGATCCAAATATTAAGTATTTTTGATTTGACAGAATGACAACACAAAGAAAAAAACACAATTATAATTAAATTGCATTTACGGAACAGAGAACAACGAAGTACTATTAATATCGAAGGATAAACCTTGACAACACATAACATATATGGAAACTGGACAGTTCGAAGCCAAACTTTCAGAGAGAAAGAAGATTTTGTCGAAATTCCCCTTGTTCTCAGTGATTCTGTCCCCCAAGAGCCTACAAGCTGTGACATCATTATGAAATAGAGCAATTAGAAGCTAGAATTTTACAGTGTTCCCCTTTAAACCCCCCTTACACACAGTCATAGAATTATACTTGGAAAAAATTCGGGTAAGGTCAATTTTCTTCACTAGAGTTATAGAATTTCATTTATTTGTTTTGTATTTATTTATTTCATCACAATTGAGTTGGAAAATAAATAAATAAGCAAACAAGTGTGATGAGGGGAAGGCAAATGGACTCTGAGGTTCCAGTAGTGATGCCCGACCCCACAAAATGCTGGTATTGCCTTAAAGAATAAACACTTAGAAGCTTTATATTGATCCAATACTTATTTCATTTTGTTAGGTTGGGTCACTGAATGCCATCTATTTTGCTAAACGTGGTTTCAAAGTGGATTTGTATGAGTCCAGAAAAGGTATTTATCTGCAAAAATTGGCACTTGCCAGCCAACTGCTGGTCCTCTTGACTGGTTACAGTGACCAGTCTCTACTGCTCAGTCTGATATGACCAGTCATCATGTCTGGCTATACATGTAGTCCAGTCCTGAACTCCCTTGTGGTCCACTCCCCTTTGGAGCAGAAAGAACGAAAGG